TCTGCCACCTGGAGGCTCTTTTTAAAACTTCATGCAATTTATTTTTCTTCCCTTGTTTTCTGAAAAGTCACTCAGTATGTTTTAATTTTTATTTTTTCTAGTTTTATTGAGATGTAATTTCCAGACAACACTGTGTAAGTAAAAGGTGTAGAAAATACTTGGCTTACATATATGGCAAAATGATTACCACGATAAGTTTAGTTAATATGTCACCTCATATAGTTACCAAAGTATTTTTTTTCCTTGTGATGAGAACTTTTAGGATCTCCTCTCCTACCACAGTTTATATATATATATCTGAGAGCAGTGTTAACTGTAGTCACCCACATTCTGTGGGGTAGTTCTGAGGATAACCTTTGTTATGCAGCCCTGAGCCCTCTGTGTACAACGCAAAGGGCAATGCACTGTAGAGTTAAGGCGTTTCAGTTATAAGGATCAAAGTTGCTCCTCTCTGACCAGTATATGTTAGTTAGATTTTATTCCAAGGCAGACTTCTGGCGCATGAGGAACTTCTTTCCTGGCTTGTAAGCCTCGTCACTAATATTTTGGGTTCACAGTGGCTGTTTGCTTTGTTATTTTCCTGGAAAGCACATGCTTTCAGTAGGTCTTGGGTAAAGAGATTTAGGAGAACTTTATCTGTTAAACAGTACAATGTGTGTGATTTCGATCAGGTGGTTAGATGTTGAGTCTCTCAATATTTTAGTCGATTTTGGAAGTGTCCTCATGGATAAGCCATTCAGGTTCTATTTAGTGTTATTTGAGGCCTTGTTAGCAACATGGTAAGTGAGCTTTGGGACACACTGCTAGCACATAATCAGAGGCATGCATGTTGAAGGGTAGGAGTCTCTGTGATGTTTGCTGCCTGGCTTTCCATTTCTTGAAGTCTTAGAAATTGAGGATGAGTGGTTTTTGTATAGATTTGGTTTCTATTTTTTTCATGTATAGTTCCCCACACTTAGGAATGTAGATAATGAAATCTCTTGTGTTTTGTCATTTGTGTCAATGTGTGTGAAGATCGTTTAAACATTCAGCTGAATTAAATGCCTAAAAGAGTAAGTTCCCTTTCCCCTAGCATTCTTTTATGTAACAGTTTTTAAAAATATGAAATGTATCTGCATACGTTAGTCCTAACTTAAACAATGATCTCTGTAGGCGGTAGAATGTTTAGACTAATGATACTGTGATTTTTCAGAATACTTCTCCAGACAGCAGGACACAGTGTTGTAAAAAGAACATTACATAGTTAGTTTAGAAGAATAGATTATAATCCTGATTTGTTTTTTCTCCTCCACTAACTGGCTGTATAACTTGTAGAAATTCACTGTTTCTGTCTGGACCTCATCTGTCAGTAGCAGAGCTGGCCTGGATAAGACCCCTCAAGTAGAACTGGATCCATAATCGTGGGGCCAGGGTAAAATGGGAAGGCAGGGCCCCTTATGAAAATGGGGTGTTTCAGGACAGTAGGACATTTAAGCTGAGGGCATGACCTTCCCAGGACAGGGCCCTGTGTGACAGGATACTACTGGTGAAGTGTGGGGTGAGGTGTGGGGACAAATCTGTGTCTTTTGGGGCCTTCAGTGAAACTCTCCTTGCAACGCCTGCTTAGGCGTGGGAGTACTTTTATAGCACACCCATGGGGACAGGGGATATAGCCGCCTTACATATGCCGAAATAGCTTCTGAGAGATTAAGGACTTCAATGTGAATGTGCAGTCGTAAAATATAAGACAAGCTGTCATTTCAAACGGTTTGCAAAATGACCCAGTCGATATCCTTAATATATTGAGAACTTTTAGCACACATTGGGTAACAGTATTCATTTCCTGTAGAGAAGTGGCCAAAGAACAATTTACTGAAAAACAAAAACCAAAAACCAAAAAAACCCCACCTTTTTCTGTATCGTTTGGAACTTAAGGATTGTCATCCATAAACGAATGACCCTGCTTCTGTAATCTCTTCCTCCCCCTCCCCCTCCCCCTCTCCATTTTGTCCCTGCTGTTTCCCAGGCCACTCCTGCAGCTGTTCCTGGGAGAGGCTCTGCTTTTCATTTCACCTTCAGTTTTGAGAACACCTGATCCAGGTGTCTTCTTGACTCTTCATTTTTGCTATTAGCTAATTCTTTTTCTTTATAATGTTTTTATTGATTTTTAGATAGAGAGGATGGGAGAGGGATAGAGAGATAGAAACATCATGCCAGCACCTTGAAACACATCACTCATTTTATCTCATCTGCTGTACTTGAGCACTGCTGTGACCTACTCATATCTAGGCCATTCATTTCATTTCTTAATGTCAGCTTTTAGCATATTAAAGGGAAAACTACGTATTGCTGAGAAAAAAAAGTCCAAGCTGTGTTATTTCCTTTGCTGTGTATGTTTATATATTTTAGGAAATATATGCACATTAAAACCAAATCTTAGGGTTAGCTACCTGCGTGATATGACATTATAGATAACTTTGGCCAACTTTTTAGTATTTTACTATAATAAAAATAGCAATACTATTTTATAATCAGGAAAAAGGTAAAAGTTACTTAAAAGGCAAAACAACCTATTTCCCCTAATTCGGTTTCACCTTTTCTATAAAATGCTTAGATTTTTTTTGAGAGGGATTAAGTATCTGTTTTCCATGAGTAATAAATGGAAAGCAAAAAAGAGCAAGATGGCTTTTAGAAAATAGATTATGTATCCCTGGCTGGTGGGTCAGTGGTTAGAGTGTTGGCTTTCACACTGAAGGTTCTCGGTTTGATTCCTGGTCCAGGGCACATACCTGGGTTGCAGGTTCACCCCCCCACTCAGATCGGGGCACGTTCAGGAGGCAGCCAATTGATGTGTCTCTTTCACATCGAAGTCTCTCTCTCTCTCTCTCTCTCTCTCTTCGTCCCCCCCCCCCCCCCCCC